TGAGAGACCTTGTAGAGGACTCAAATTTTATATTTTGTAAAGCAGAAACAGTTGATGTCTGCTTGACTTTGTCGCTTCATGAGATAGAAGCTTTTCACAGGGACATCACAGAACAAATATGCGTGGCTCTGACATTTGTTGAATTTATTAAATATTTGAAATTTATCATTGACAAATTTTCCCTTGAACCATAGAACAAAGTATCTACTATAGTCAGAACCACAATGATGCATTCAAGATAATTATGGCTGAAAGCACCAAAGCTTAAAGACCAAAATGGTCCCAGATTTACAGGTTTATAGTAGTTTTGTACCAGTAGATGCTAGCCTGGTACAAAACATACATATTTTAAAGACTAGCATCTTGTGTCAATTGAAGTACTTCCCCCTTTTTTTGCCTTTCTTTTTAACATGAATAAGATAATTCTTAAAACATAAAAGATACTAACAGAAACATATTTATAAATGTATCTAGTGTACTAGTGATGAATAAAATCCCCTCCTTTCCCACAATTCTAAGGGCTCATTAATTTATTTGTATTCATGTAATGCATGTCCAGATTTCTGTTAATCAAACAAGCATTACAACCCATAATTTATTTATCTGCAAAAATTGTCTGTCCTGCTGCATATTTCCATTTTGAATTTATCATACGTTTTAAACCTAGCCCTGAAAAACCTTGCACTTGGATAATGTTAAAAATATTAATATGAAACCCTGCAGGTGAAACATGTAGACCATAGCAAATAAAATTGCAGACCATTTGAAGTGTTGTTGTCAATTTTGAGTATTATTTAAATGTTGCATTCATTTGCATAATTTGACAACCCCGCATACTGTAAATTCAGAAATTATTGCGAGGTTTTTATTATTGCGAAAAATGCGACAGAGTTGTAAACGCAATAATTTAAACTCGCATTTTGAAATATTTCAAATGAATTAAACATGATTTTTCTCAAAATCGTAAAATTTAAAATCGCAATTAAGTCTCAAATGACAAAATCGCAATAATAAATGCACGCAATAATTTCTGAATTTACAGTACCAAGGTATCCACTTCAGGGACTCTATCGAAATGATTCACACAGGCGTTGGTTCACCAAACGGAGTTTAATTTTGGATAATATTAGTATAAACACCATGTCTATTTGTGCCAACCTTCCAAATTTTTAATATTTTGCTATCCTAATTTGGTACAGATCCTTTATCCTCAAAACTTATCAGGGGCAGTAGGCGTGTTTGTATGTTAGTTTGTCACATCTTACATGTATGATTACTAGCCTCTAGGTGTTGGATTTGAGCCCTAGTTGGGCAGTTGCAAAATTAAGGTTTGATTTTCATGTCATATGTGATAAGGTTAGTCTGTTTCCTCCCGCAGGTTGGCACTTTCCTTCAAGTACTACGGTTTATTATGCCAACAAAACTGACTGCCATGAAATTACCCATATGGTGTAGAAAGTGATGTTTATAAAACAAAAAGCAAACAATCAAAGTTTTAAATCATTGTCTATTTGTACAAGGAGCCGTAGTGGTTGAGCCATTTAAAATATGGTAACTTTACCAAACTGTGACCACAACTTCAAGATGTGACATCAGGTCTCTGTTCAATGGGCAGTCCCACAATTAAAGTTCAATTTTCATGTCATACATTTTATATGGTTAATTTGTCAGTTTCCTGCCTCAGTTCTGTGTTTTTTTCTGGGTACTTTGGTTAACTCTGCCAATAAAACTGACTGTCTTACATGAAATTATCCATATGATGTAGAATGTGACATTGACAGTTGACCCCTTTCAAAGAAACCATCAGCATGTACACACAACAATGCTGCAATGCTTTAGACACCATTGATCTAGAGACTTCATGATTTACATGTATAAAACTTTTAAATATAAAAAAAAATAATTTCCCTACCTACCTACCCACCTGCTGATAGTGTGGGTCGGCAATGCCAAACAAACAATTTTTTAAGGGTGGCCTAAGACGTGGTAAAAATGTGATACGTGATAAACCAATAAACGATTCACTGGAATAGTGATATTGTGTCTGTTTCGCAAATTATAATTGCTAATATCAGATACAAATTCCGGAACCAAGTCATGTAGATAATCTGAAGCCTGATTGTTTATAATTTTATAAAACATAGCCAATTTTTTTACCTCCCACCTTACGCTTAATTTTTCCCATCCTGTCTCCCTGTAAATAGTGTTGCGGCTAGCATTACTTGGTAATCCAGTAACTATACAAGCAGCCTCGATTTGAATATTTTCTAACCAATCAGAATTTATTTTCCCACAACTATCTTAAACTTCTGATGAATATTCGAGTATCGGACGAAAATCAAATAGATTTTTTCCAAATATTCCGATTTTAGTCTAAATATTTAGTTTGTGTAAAACGTTTAGTTGCTTCGTAGTTTTCTCGATCAATTTATCAACATGCTTATTCCATTTACAATCATTACTAAATATGACACTTAGATGTTTGTGCGCATTAACTGGTGCTAAAGCAGCACCACCCATAAACAAAAGTAATATCACTGTATATTTCTCAAACTAAATATCATATCTGTTTTATTAGGATTAAACTTCACTAGCCATTTTCTGACCACTTACTTAAATAATCAAGATCTGTACTAATTAAATTTTTATACGCCCGTTTACGGGACGTATTATGGTATACCGTTGTCCGTCTGGCTGTCTGTCTGTCCGTCGTCAACATGTCGCACATTAACTCAAAAACGCTTTACCCAATTTGCATAAAACTTTGGTGAATTGTTTATATCTATAGTCGTGAGCTCCCTTTCGTTTTTCATAAATTTTAGATTTTACGTTTCCGAGAAATGGGGTTTTATTCATTAAAAAAGGGGGTTTTCCAGTTTTCGGACAATAACTCAAAAATGCTTTCTCCAATTTGCAAGAAACTTTGGTCAATTGTTTATATCTATTGACATGAGCTCCCTTTGGATTTTTATATGTTTTAGATTTTATGTTTCTGAGTTACAGAGTTTTATTTATAAAAAAATGGGATTTTCCAGTTTTCTGACAAAAAATCAAAAATGCTTTTAGCAGTTCTTATGAAACTTTGGTGAATTGTTAATATCTATTGACGTAAGCTCCCTTTTGATTTTTAGAAGTTTTAGATTTTACGTTTCCGAGTTATGAGGTTTTATTCATTAAAAAAAGGGGGATTTTCCAGTTTTCAGACAATACCTGTAAAGTGCTTTGAGCAGTTTTCTTTAAACTTTGGTGCCTGGTTTATATCTATTAAGATAACCTCCCTTTAGTTTTTCATAAATTTCTGATATGACATTGAGAAGTTATTTAATTGTTTTGACAACAGATTTACTAAGTATTGCGCAACAGCACAGTGTATTGCACAACAGCAAGAAATCTTTAATTGAATATAAGTTCAATTCATGTAACCAATTTCAAGTTCTATGACTACATTTATTCAGAAACCTATAATATGTCAAATATTTAATTACAATCCAAATTCAGACCTGTATCAAACTTGAATATTGTGTCCATTTTTGCCCCAACTGTTCAGGGTTGGACCTCTGCGGGCGTATCCAGCTGCGCTCAGCGAAGCAGTTTATTTTAAAGTGAATTCATCAGGTGCAGTATGACCTATTGAAGTATCATCTGCAAAAAGTTTCGATTCCAGACATACCATCAGCTATATCATTTATGTATATTAAAAACAACAAAGGCCCTAATACCGACCCCTGAGGCACACCAGCATTTAGTTTTCCAAGATTTGATAATGAATCTTTTATGACAACTCTCTGAGATGTCTAGACAAGTAACTTTTCAACCAACTTAGCAAGTCTCCTTTTATATCATATTTTTCAAGTTAATGTAATAAAGCCTTAATCCAAACAGTGTCAAATGCTTTGCTTATATCAGCAAATGTAATGCTTGTTATAAACTTTTCATTTAGTGCAATCAAAATTTTGTTATATGATTCTATCAACTGATGCGAAGTTGAATATCCTGGAATAAATCCAGATTGATACTTGTACAACAGTTTATTTTTCGTGTAAATGATTAAACATATTTTTGAAAACAAGTTTTTCTAACACTTTACTCACACATGACAATAAGGAGACAGGCCTGTAGTTAGAAGGTAATGACTAGTCACCACTTTTAAATAACAGAATAACATGTGCATTTTTCCATTGGTCTGGAAATATTCTATCATGCTAGATCTGTTAAAAAGTAGACATAATGGTTTGGAAATTTCATTTCTGACAGCAAGTTAAACATTCTGTTGCTAACAATATCTGATCCAACAGCTTTATTAACATCGAGTGTTGAAACAATATCAAGTACATCTTGTTCACTAACTGCAATTTGTGAAAGAAACTCATGAAATTGGTCTTCAAATTCCGGGAAATCTTTACTAGTGCCATCTAAATTAGAAATTGAACAAAAATATTTATTTAAAATGTTGGACTTTCTGTACCCTCGTACGCAAGTTTAAAGTTATGATCCGGGTTCCGTCATATGAGAAATATCATGAGACGGTGTATCGCTTTTAATTAACATGTTAACAGTTTTCCAGTACTGTTAACAGTTTGTCACTTTTAGTTCATCTAAATTTTCATTAATACTGGTATAAAATTGCTTTTTAGCTTGCTCTTTCAAGTTATTTACTCTGCTCCTTTGTTGTTTATATTTCTTTTCTGCGGATGTACTAATCGAGAATAAAAAAAAAAATTACGAATCCTGTTGCGTTTTCTTGTTTCTTTCTGCAAATTTGAATCATACCAAACTTTGTCGTCACATCTTATAGTTACTTCCCTTGTAGGTATACATTCGGATGCTATATTAAGAAATGAGTTAGTGAAATTAGTAGCACACCTTTGGTATATGGAAGAGGCCACAAAGATTCTAGCCATTATAAATATCTGGTGCACACAACGACCAATTAGGATTAGCCTTTCTGAATACCATGTTCTACCTTAAAAATTGTTTATGAAATTCATTTCTGCTTGCAGGACACTTACAGAGCTGATATTTTTTGTTGGTGATGATGAAGTGGTAGGTAGAAATTAAAAACAGAATTGAGGGCAGTTGATTACATCATTTAATGTTGTGATTTTCATTGTTCAAAAAGTCCACCAGTTTTTATCTGAAATTATACACATGTATTTAGGTTTGATACATATTGATGGTTAATATCAACTGCATGTTGAAAAAACATACATACCTGTGGCTGTCAACTAAAGTGTATTTTGTGGGTGTGATCCGTGAATTTACCAGCTCAGCTGAGATTTGTTAATGACCTGTACTGGTCATCAAATAAGCTGGAATTTCAGTATCAGACCTGTTTCTACCCGTATTTTAGCTCCATGAGACTTTTGAGTTCTTATTTGAAAATATTTCCTCCGAAATACTTTAAAATTTGACGTTCAATTTAAAGTTATTACCTTAACTGTTCAAGATCGTTCAACAACTGCCTAACAATATTTTTAACATTTACTGTTTAGTCCATTTTTAGTAATATCGTTTTGGCATGGCTCTATTTATACATCCCACCATTGTGCTTAGTGCTATGGTCATTTTTGTATCTTATCTTTCATTTTTGCTTATGTGCTTTGTCTATAGAGTGTCTATATGCCAATTTGTTTTTCTTTGTTGACGTAGTTGTTTGTTTGTTTTTATATTGATTAAGAATATAACACAATGTTGACTGCTGACATTTTTAGATATTATGTCTGTTTGTATTGCTCAGGATGCTATAAACAGTTTTGTTTAAAATACTAGGGGTTATTCCCCAACTTGAAATGGCTATGGAGGGAAATCCCATTTTAGTTACCTAATTGGTGAAAAAGTATCATGTTTTTTGTATTTGATAGTAAAAATTAGTTAGTTAGCTTTCAGTTAAAACAGGTTGAATGATCAAAATGATTTTTCAAATTAGATTAGATTAATTGTTTTAATGGGAGACAACACTGTAAACTTCCTGTTTTTTTGGTGTGTTAGTGTATGGATCTCTCTGACATTGTATCACAAGGTTCCATATCACAAAGGGAATGCTGGGATTGATTTTGGGGGTAATTGCCTCAAAATTTTAGGAATTTGGGGCCAAAAAAGGGGCAAAAAACAAGCATTTTTCTAGTTTCATGACAATAACTTGTGTTCAAGTGTATGGATCTCTCTGAAATTGTACTGCAAGGTAACATACCACAAAGGGAAGGCTGGGATTTAGTTTAGGGGTGATAAATCATAAGGGGGTTCAAAAAATTTGGGGGGGGATTTTTTTTCCTTTTTTTCCTTTTTTTTTTACTTTAAAATTTTCCATTTTAAGTTGGTTATTTCTGATTTATATATAAAAGCAAATTAAAATTATATGGTTTGATTAGGTAAATTAAAAAATTTTGAGTTCTTAGACCACATACATTCTGTGGCAGAAAACTATGCTGTGTCAAATATTTAATCACAATCCAAATTCAGAGCTGTATCAAGCTTGAATGTTGTGTCCATACTTGCCCCAACTGTTTAGGGTTCGACCTCAGCTGTCTTATCAAGCTGCCCCCAGCAGAGCATTTTATTGGGGTTATGGCCCTTAATGTTTAGGAAAAAGGGGCCAAAAACAATACTTTTTATACGACCGCAAAAAAATTTTTGCGTCGTATAATGCTATGATGTCTTCGTTGTTGTCTGCGTCATCCTCGTCTGAAGACACATTTGGTTTCCGGACAATAACTTTAGTTTAAGTGAATGGATCTCTATGAATTTTTACCAGAAGGTTCAATACCACAAAAGGAAGGTTGGGATTGATTTTGGGGGGTGATGGTACCAACAGTTTAGGAATTAGGGGCCAAAAAGGGGCCAAAAACAAGCATTTTTGTAGTTTCCGGACAATAATTTGTGTGTAAGTGTATGGATCTCTGAAATTGTACCATAAGGTTCAATATCACAAAGGGAAGGCTGGGATTGACTTTGGGGTTAATTGCCCCAAAAAAATTAGGAATTAGGGGCAAAAAAGGGCCAAAAACAAGCATTTTTCCAGTTTCCAGAAAATAACTTGTGTTTAAGTGTATGGATCTCTCTTAAATTGTACTACAAGGTTCCATACATTAAGGGAAGGCTGGGATTGAGTTTGGGGGTAATTACTCCAAATGGGGGGGGGGGGGGGTCTAAAAACTTGGGGGGATTTTTTTCCAATTTTTTTTAGTGGGGGGGGGGGGTCATTTTTTCTTCAAAATTTTTGAAATTTCAAATTTTTGAAATCTTCAATTGCACAGTATTGCGCAATAGCACAGTATTGAGCAAAAGCAAGAAATCTTCAATTGCACAGTATTGCACAATAGCAAAGTATTGCACAATAGCAAGAAATCTTCAATTACACAGTATTGCGCAATAGCACAGTATTGTGCATTATCACAGTTTTGCGCAATAGCAAGAAATCTTCAATTGCACAGTATTGCACAATAGCAAGAAATCTTCAATTGCACAATATTGCGCAATAGCACAGTATTGAGCAAAAACAAGAAATCTTCAATTGCACAGTATTGCACAATAGCACAGTATTCCACAATAGCACAGTAATCCACAATAGCACAGTATTGTGCAATAGCAAGAAATCTTTAATTGCATAGTATTGTGCAATAGCACAGTATTGTACAATAGCACAGTATTGAGCAAAAGCAAATAATCTTCAATTGCACAGTATTGCACAATAGCACAGTATTCCACAATAGCACAGTATTGCGCAATAGCAAGAAATCTTCAATTACACAGTATTGCGCAATAGCAAGAAATCTTCAATTACACAGTATTGCGCAATATCACAGTTTTGCGCAATAGGAAGAAATCTTCAACTGCACAGTATTGCGCAATAGCAAGAAATCTTCAATTGCACAGTATAACTCAATAGCAAAAAATCTTCAATTGCACAGTATTGCGCAACAACACAGTATTGCACAATAGCAAGAAATCTTCAATTGCACAGTATTGCGCAATAGCAAGAAATCTTCAATTGAAAACAAATACAAATGTTTTAACCAATTTCAATGGGATTAATTAAGTCTTTAATTTTTGGGGGTTCTAACCGTGTATAATTTTTTTGGAAAATGGGCCCCATTTTTATATGCCCGTTTATGGGACGTATTATGGTATACCGTTGTCCGTCTGTCTGTCTGTTCGTCCGTCCTTCTGTCCATTTGTATGTCTGTCCGTCCGTTGTCAACATGTCGGACATTAACTTAAAAACACTTTAACCAATTTGCATAAAACTTCGGTGAATAGTTTATATCTATTGACAAGAGCTCCCTTTCGTTTTTTATTAATTTTAGATTTTACGTTTCCGAGTTTTATTCATTAAAAAAAGGGTGATTTTCCAGTTTCGGACAATGACTCAAGAATGCTTCACCAACTTGCAAGAAATTGTGGTAAATTGTTTATATCTATTGACATGAGCTCCCTTTGGATTTTTATATATTTTAGATTTTACGTTTCTGAGTTACAGAGTTTTATTTATAAAAAAATGGGGATTTTCCAGTTTTCTGACAAAAAATCAAAAATGCTTTTAGCAGTTCTTATGAAACTTTGGTGAATTGTTTATATCTATTGATGTAAGCTCCGTTTAGAATTTTATAAATTTTTATACGACCTTTGGGATCGTATAATGGTATGATGTCATCGTTGTCGTCGTCTGCGTCGTCCGAAGACACATTGCTTTCCGGACAATAACTTTAGTTTAAGTGAATGGATCTCTATGAAATTTTTTAAGAAGGTTCAATACCACAAAAGGAAGGTTGGGATTGATTTTGGGGTTGATGGTCCCAATCCAAATTCAGACAGTATCAAGCTTGAATATTGTGTCCAAATTTGCCCAAACTGTTCAGGGTTGGACCTCTGTGGTCGTATCAGGCTGCGCTCAGCGAAGCATTTTATTCATTTATCATTTCTGAGTTATGGGGTTTTATTCATTAAAAAAGGGGGGATTTTGCAGTTTTCGGACAATAACTCAAAAACGCTGTCAGCAATTCTCATGAAACTTTTGGTCAATTTTTTATATCTATTGATGTAAGCTCCCTTTACATTTTCATAAATTTCTAATATGACATTGAGAATTAATTGAACTTTATTTGTTTATAGTCTGACAACAGATTTACAAAGTATTGCGCAACAGCACAGTGTATTGCACAACAGCAAGAAATCGTTAATTGAATATACATTCTATTCATATAACCAATTTCAAGTTCTTTGACTACATTTATTCAGAAACCTATAATATGTCAAATATTTAATTACAATCCAAATTCAGACCTGTATCAAGCTTGAATATTGTGTCCATTTTTGCCCCAAACTGTCAGGGTTGGACCTCTGCGGGTGTATCCAGCTGCACTCAGCGAAGCAGTTTATTAAATTGGTCTACACATTGAGGTCAAAAGGGTCCAAAATTAAACTTTGTTTGATTTCATCAAAAACTGAATTATTGCGGCTGTATGATTTACTGAATCTTATTGTGCATTTAGATTTTTATTTTGGGCCCTGTTTTCAAGTTAGTTCATATTAAGGTTTGAAGGGTCCAAAATTAAACTTTGTTTGATTTCAACTAAAATTAAATTATTGGTGTTTATTATATGCTGAATCTAACCATGTTGTTAGATTTTGGATATCAGACCATACTAGGTAAATTAAATGTCCCATTTCAAATTTTTAAGATCTTTGACCACATTTATTTTGTGTCAGAAACCTATATTATGTCAAAAATTTGATCACAATCCAAATTCAGACAGTATCAAGCTTGAATATTGTGTCCAAACTTGCCCCAACTGTTCAGGGTTCGACCTCTTTGGTCATATCAGGCTGTGCTCAGCTAGGCATTTTATCTTATACTTTGTACAAATTGCTTATTAGTCCCCTGTGGATGAAGTCAAAGGGGACTTTAGGTTTGCACTCCTTCTGTCTGTCTGTCTGTCCGTCAGTCCGGCACATCAGTTTTCCACACTTTTTTTCTTCGTGCTTGAAGATATTGATTTGATATTTGGTGTATTGTTTTATCATGACAAGTTTGAATTTAGTTCCGG